CAAATGTAATTTTACTCAGTTTATTAACATTTTTACTCCACATTTGTGCAGTTTTTTGAAGGATTTATTATATTTTTTACATTTATATAAATAGATTAAAACATATTTTTAAATAGGTTTTTTATACAAAAATAGCTTTTTATGTAAAATTCACTTTATAATAGACCCACATTCCTAATTTTAATTAATGGTGATAACATGTGCCATAGTTTAAAAACTGCTTCCTTCCATCTATTTGAAAATAATCACTTTTAAAATAAAAAACACTACGTTTTAACTACAGCCACAGATGACTCGAGAGCATTACTCAGTGGCTTATTTAACATTTTAACTACAGTCATAGATGACTCGAGAGCATTACTCAATGACTTATTTACCATTTCCACATAGCTATAGATCTTTTCAAGATTCACGTTTTTTTATGTAGATTTGTTAAGAGATTTATAAAATCATTATTGTAATCATATAAAATGACTTTGCAAAAAAATGATATTTCAGTACAAAAAAATGCTAAACTTTGACAATGATGACACATGATTACAGTCAAACCTGTATGTGGTGTTATATGTGTGTGTGTCTTTGCATTTATTCTCCATCGTGGATGTGCTGTGGTGTCCCTCCATCATTTCTGTGTGTGTTCTTCGTTGTAGCTGATTTTTATTTGACAAATTATGTAAGAGAGAGCCACTCATGTCATGTCAATTTTTCATTTCTTACGAGTGTGTTTTATGGGTTTGGGGGGTGTTGGGGGTCGTGTGTGTTTTTCCTCCATCGTGGATGTGCTGGGGTGTCACGCCTTCAGATTCTGTGTGTTGTCTGCATTGTAACTGACATTTTTGACAAATTATGTAACAAAAAAAAATAAAAAATTTGTCTATGGGTGGTTTTGGGGTGTGTGTGTGTGTGTGCGAGCGTAATCGTTCTGCATTGTGAACGTGTGGAAGGGTCGCCACTTCATTTTCGTGTATTTTGTGGTCTGAATTGTGGTGGATTTATTGATTTTATTTGATAAATTAAGAAGAAAAAGTATTGATTTGATCATTTCCTCATTCATTTCAATGTGGGGTCTCCAGAGAGTGACTGTTTATTTCACACTAACACACAACCAGATATCAATCCAGTTTAATTCTCTATTTGTAGAGCTACCAAGTGTTAACAACCGTACAAAGTCTCATGCCATTTAGATAAAGAGAACATTTTTTTTTATTTCAGCAAACATCATTTGGGGTCTCAAAAGACCTTGAACAGCGCTTAAGGGTTAAACAAAGTGATTTTAATCATTTTGATTCTTGTCTGTGAATGTTACTGACCTCAATCTCTCCAGTTTACAGTGTGAATCCTTCAGTACGTCACATAAGTGATTCACTCCTGTGTTTTTTATTTGATTCCCGCTCAGCTTCAGTTCTCTCAGGTGTGATGGGTTTGATTTCAGAGCTGAAGTCAGGATGAGACACTGTTTCTCTGTAATACTGCATCTATACAGACTGAAGACAGAAAGAGAAAACACAATGAATCAGAAACGTTATGTTCATGTGTGAGTTAAATTAATCATGTTAACAACCATACAGTCCAATAATTAAAAAACATTGCCAAAAACCTTATTATATGACCATAAACAAAAACAGAAGAAAAAAGATTAACAAAGTAGATTAAGATACAGGATCAAATAAAGAACTACTTAAAATGTGAGAAATCTAGAAAATTCTGTTTCTGAATTACAATTTACCCAAAGACATTTTAAGTGTACTTTATCATCAATAAACACATTTGTTTTTGTAATTATAAATCATTTCAGCACTGCAATATTCATAAAAAATAATAACTCAACTTTAATTTCATGGTGACTTTATGAAAGTAAACAGTAAACTTTAATCTCACAGTAACTGCTGTAGAGTATAATGATACTAACTCTAGTTTCTCCAGCTTGCATTGTGTGTTCATCAGTAGATCACTGAGGTTTTTCACTCCAGAGTCTCCAAGTTTATTCCCGCTCAGCTTCAGTTCTCTCTGGTGTGATGGGTTTGATTTCAGAGCTGAAGCCATAGCAGAACAACCTTCATCTGTTATATAACAGTATCTTAACCTACATTGAGATAAATGAGAAAAGTCACTTAATTCTGTTTAATTTAAATAAAACACTTTATTAATTCTTGTCTGTGAATGTTACTGACCTCAATCTCTCCAGTTTACAGTGTGAATCCTTCAGTACGTCACATAAGTGATTCACTCCTGTGTTTTTTATTTGATTCCAGCTCAGGTTCAGTTCTCTCAGGTGTGATGGGTTTGAGTTCAGAGCTGAAGTCAGGACGAGACTCTGTTTCTCTGTAATACTGCATCCACACAGACTGAAGACAGAAAGAGAAAACACAATGAATCAGACACGTTATGTTCATGTGTGA